AGTGGAAACAGTTGAAGCATATCGAGTTTGGAGGCAGAAAATAGTTAAAAGTCTTTTCATCTATCCACTTTCTTTGGCTTGTCTGAAGTCGGCAGTAGACGAGGCATGTCGTGAAAAATGACTGAGACGTTTATCGATCACTGTTACACCCATTCAAAAGTCATGAAATTGATCGGCTGGTGAGTAGAAGCAATGCAGAAGGCTCCAGTATGGGCTGAACTTTTGTGAATATTTATATTTTTTTGGAGTGCAGTGTTTGGGGACCTTTTATCCATCAAATTCGGTATAATTCAGTTGAAATGGACCCTTCAGCCAGTCCTCGTGTTGACTGCCCAGATGAACCCGATCGGACGGCCATCCAATTTGAGCGCTCTGGTGAACAGGACCAGCCAGAAAGGAATACAAATAGTCCCATTAGAAAGATAATAATCGACTTTGAAGCAAATGACATTTCCGGAGTCCTCAATGGATCCGAGAAACTCACCTTCAAACAGGAATCCTATGTCTCCATTCCGGTGTCTGCCATCAAGGGCAGCGGAGGTGAGGTCATGGTTGAGGGTGAAAGTCGAGCGGCAGGCTCCATCACTCTGCGCATTCTGGCGGAGATCAGTGAAGTCGACGACTCGGAAATGCCGAAAATCCAGCATACCACCTGTCGCCAGAGGGACATGCAAAATGACATTGTGGGATTCGACCTTGTCGAGGGACGCATGGTCGCCAAGTGTTGCCAGTCCCTGTTGCCGGTTGCCGGTAAACTGACCACCAATTCGGCCGGACCTCGAGACGAAAGTGTTACGTCGAAAGATCCCCGATCCGATGGACAACCAATGGCCATGACCGGACTATTTGCTGATCAACTTGCTCCAGATCGGCCAGGCTGTGTCCAAGTGGCGGCCAGTCCCGAGGCAGATGTTCAAAGAGGCCTCATGTACTCCGGCAGGGCCTGCCTCATGAATGTGGGCCAGCGCATTTGCGAGTTTGACTATGCCAACTCATGCGTAAGCCCACAACTTCGAGTTGCCCACGAGGGCCAAATGCTCAAGTCCTATCCACGATTGGAGTCGGAGCTCTCCTTGAGAATAGGCCATACCGACCCAACGTCGAGGATGAATTACGAAGAGGCAATGACGATGGATACCGACAAGGGTGTGAGCTCTGCTTCGCATAGCGACACATTTTACTCAATTGAAAATATATTAACTCAAGAGAAGAGGACACCAAATGGCGCTAGGCCGCCTTCACAGCCGAGCTCAATAAAACCAAATCCGGACCTTTTGTCGGCACCAAAGAACAACCACTTCACCATTCCGTTGGTGCGAGCTGACGAGCAGATGAGCACTTCTCCACTTGATCAGTTCAATGGGCCCAACCAGCTTTTAGGGCAGCAGACAAACCTCTTCGGGCTCAGCCCGAGGTTGAAGGAGAACGAAACCAGCATGCCAGAGGAACCGGAGTGCCCTCAAATGCATACGTCCCTCTCGACTCGGTCTCTATTCAATGAACCGTTATATCAAAAAGGGAGCAAACTCAGTTGTGTCCTACCTTCTCGTTCTGACGGCAGTTTTAATCCGGAAATGTTGGC